ATTGCATGTGGGGCACCTAGGTAAGGAAAAATGCAAGAAAAGAGCCCGCACACCTGTCTAAAACATGAGGAAAAACAGCCAAGGGAGCCCAAGACAATCACAGACCAACCTGATGAACCATGGCAGAAAGTTGCGACAGACTTGTTCCACTTAGATGGAAAGGATTACCTTCTCATGATAGAAGAATTGTCCAACTACCCAGTGACGGCACTGCTTTCCAGCATGTCTGTGACATGTGTGATCAATCACATAAAATCAATCTTTGCGAGACATGGAATTCCCCAGATTGTCCATAGTGACTTTGGTCCGTCAGAGACTCCTCTCTCCATAGTGAAACAGTAGATCAAGAAAGCGAAAGACAGTAATTCGGATCCATGTCTACCGTTGTTGAGTTTTCGAGCATTGCCACTTGAACATGGCTGGTCTCCTGCTGAAATTCTAATGGGATGTAGGCTACGCGGCACAATTCCCTACACTGCAGGACGAAAAGAGAGAAGAGTAAAAGAGAAACAAAGGCTTCTACAACAGAGACAAAAAGCAAACTCTGACAAGTGCACAAGAAGCTTGGAACCTCTGGCAAGACATGACACAGTAAGAATTCAAGATACCAAAATTTGCCGTACGAGGGTATGGAGGACAAAAAATGACTTAAGTATAAATAAATGAATGTGTAAATAAATAAAGGGAATAAAGACGACGATGTTTATTTCAAAATTTCTGTTCGCCTACATTTCTACATTTATTTATATGTGTCTGTATGCTAATCCAGCTCCTAACCTGGATTAGTCGCAGCAGTGTGATCGCTCCTGGTCTACTATTTCTGTCTTGAAGTTAGCTCCTTAGCAGAAAATGTTGTTAGAATTTGGCTACATGGTTTTGTTTTTACAAACCACTGCAAATCAATTGCAATCGTTAGCAAACAATTTAGAGAAGGACACTCCAGTGTAGGCTGGACAAGATGACGGAGGACTTGACTCAGCGCAATGCCGACATGGATCTGGAAGTTGACCAAACAGTGTTCAATCCTCCTGGAACTACAGGAGCGAACCATGGACCTCCATCGTATTTTATTCTCTTTGGGGGCATCTTGCTTGGAACATGGCGCAGCTGTTTGGAGGATGGGGCAGTACGGAAAGAAGGTAATAATGTCAAGTGTGTTTTTATGGTTTAATTTATTATCTTCTAAAAGTGGCTGTATATTGTTGCAAATTTACATAATATTTATGATGGTAACTGATGAACTTTTTACACGGTTGTAATGGAATAAACTCTCTGTATGTCAGATAATTTGCAACCCTATTCTCAATTGTATGGGGTCTAGGCTTTGACTGGGGCATTTTAAAACAACAACATTTTTTGAGCAACAAGACTTCATACTGTGAGCGCAAAACAAAAAAGAGCCTCTTGGCAAGGGAACCGCAACAACCATTCCATACATTCTTAGTCATTACCTTACTTGGATGTCTTGCACTGATTGGAGACCAGGGTTGCTTTTGAAAATGAAATGTGTGTTTTAGTAAGCAAGTATTGCTAATTAGAACTACCAAGTTTTTCGTTAGCTTCCTTGGTCAACTGTGCATGAATGGTAACCCGGCGTAATTTTTTTTTTTTCCAATGGCAGGCAAACTACTGGCACTGCCTTCACGATCGACCTATTGGGCACTCTTGATCCAAACCCTTCCATTGTTGCTCTTGATGTTTGTTTGGAGTCATTGTCTTGCTGGACGATGAGCCTCTGAGCCAAGTCTTACATTAGTAGTCATATTCAACTTTATATTTTCTTCAAGGATTGCCCTGGATTTGGCTCGATCCACCTTTCTCTCAATTCAGACTAGTTTCCCAATACTATACAATTCTATTGGTAGTTTTGCACTTCTGCCATATAATCAGAGCTGTTTGGTGAGCGCGTTGCTTCCTCATTATGCTCTTTGTTCAGTAATGCTCTCTAATAAATTCTGAGGCTGTCACTGAACAGGTGTGTATATACTGAAATTAAATTGCAGACAGCTGGACCCTATTTAGCAATTATGTGACTTAGGCAATTGGTCGAACCAGATCTTTATTTGGTAAACAGTAAAGGGGGTGAATACGAATGCACTCAACATTTTTTTTTAAACGTTCACCCCAACTTCCAGATCAGGTTGTTGGTCCATTACATAACATCGCAATGAAATACATTTGAATCTGTGGTTATATCTTGACTACTTATGCAAGGCACTGTAGGCACTGTAGTTTTAACGACACTGATGGGCTGTCAAAACCTTCTACCTTATGTCCTCGTATATGTCTTTTCCTCTTCGCATTGCTGCTCTATGTGGGTACACCTTGGCACTAAAGTAGTTTGGTTTGTTTCCTCTCTCTTTTAATCTGTGTTGCCCATCCCTTTTCCTTAGGAAGTCTCATTTGATTAGTTTGCTAATTAATTGACTAATTAAGCACCCAAATGTGTTTCACCTGCATATGTGATCCACTTGACAAATGCAGAAGCTGGGGCTTAACTTACTTTTGCACATGAACTAATTCCATGTTACATATAGTTGTTTGGGGGCAGCACTGTCGCCTCACAGCAAGAACGTCCTGGGTTCAACTCCACCCAGTGGCCTTTCTGTGCAGTTTCTGCATGTTCTCCCCGTGTCTGCGTGGGTTGCATCCGGGTACTCCCACAGTCCAAAAACATGCTTTGGGAATTATGTTAATTGGTATTGCTAAATTGCCCATAGGTCAGTGTGAATGGTTGTTTGTTGTTTGGCTCTGTGGTTGGCTGGCGACCAGTCCAGGTTGTACCCCGTCTCTCGCCCCAAATTGGCTGGGATTGACTCAAGCCCCCCGCGACCCTGTATGATGGATAAGCGGTTTGAAGATGGATATAGTTAATATAGTTAATATATCACCAATTGGTTCCTAGGGGGCTCAACAAGGGGCCCAAATGAGGGTAAGTTGGCCCTATATACAGGCTAAATACAAGCATGAACATTGAACAACATAAATGGACTGTTCTCTGATGTCCCACCATCTCTTACGCATAAATCCGTAATGCTTGTCTACCTCACATTTTAATACTAAACTGAGACATAATAAATCCAAATATTCTCTTTAACCATCAATTGTTAAATTGTGTAAAACAAAGTTAAATAGATCACAGCTTTAGCATCCACCTCTGCCACAAAATGGTATCCAGAAGCAGACCTAAATTAAACAACTGCTTGCATACAAAAGCACTGTCCTCAGTGTTTAAAATTAAATATAAAGCTTAGAACAAGAAATTACAGATCTTAAATACGTGAACGTGATTGAAAATGAGTTAAGGGAGTATAGCTAAATTGACTGATAGAACAAACGTAGTTCTTATCTTATTATTGGGAAAGAGGGAGAGAAAGAAGGGAGACAAAAACGGGGGCGCGGGAGAGGTGAACAGAGTGGAAGAAAGGGAGAGCTATTCCCACAAAATACCCATTCATACAGTACATTTGAATCTTATCTAATGAGGAAAAAAAGCGAACATCTATGCAGCGATCCAGAAAGCAAATGACTCTATATATGTGTACACACACACACACACACACACATTGCCAGGGATGCAAGATAAGAGAGTAGAGTGTTCTGGGGAAAAAGCCTCCTCATTGGTGTGCAAGGCTGCACATGTTCCAAACCTCCCATATATTCCTGTGTGCGTGTGCGTGTGTGTTTGTGTGTGCATGCATGCGCCTGCAAGCTCTCCCTCTCTTTTTTCACCACCACTAAAAAGACACAGAGGACCTATTGTGCCCAAGGAAGGAAAATCCCTCCATTTTCAGAAAAGGAGAGGAATGAACAGCTCTCTCTCGCTCTCTCTCTCTCTCGTGCGCGCCTTCCGTTTATCTCGACCTCTCTCCTTTTTAACCTCTCTCAGACTCTTTCTTCTCCCTTCCATTCACATAGCAGCTGAAATGGCAAAGCTTGTTAAAAGGAAGCCCACATAACAGCATTTACAGCTTTGCTTACTGCAGCATCTCTCCTGCTCGCCGTGTGCCTTTGCACCAGAAGCCATGGATGAAAGCAACTCGGTAAAGCTTCTAAAAAATGTTACGGCATTACAGGCCCACAACGAAATGTGTAAAAGGATAGGGATGAACATATATATATATATATATATATATATATATATATATATATATATATATATATATATATATGTTTAAGGAACATTATTAAGGAACATCATTAAGGAACATTCTTTTTTCCCCAGGTGATAAGAGCTGCAGGCCTTCGCTCTAGAGCTCAATTTTGCTGCAAACAATATTTTTCAAAACTGAGAGAAATCAACCTCCCTGATTGCTAATGAAAAGTTATAGATGGGTAGTCTGAGACAGATGTTGTGATGACAGAGGACAGCCTTCACTATCAAGATAGCATACACACAAGGTTTATTTTATCAGGGATATCAGTAACACCTCATTTGACAGAGAAAGCTAAGGCAAACAATGGAATTCCTGGTAAACAATTCCAAAGTTGCTCTTCAATTGTCATGAGTGAGTGCACGCATCACTTTGTGATATGTTGATTTGTTTATATCCTAACTGTGTAAACGACTAGACAATGAGACATTATCAACATTGTGTCGTTTTTACTTACAAACCTACAAACAATCACATCACTCATCTTACCTTTTTGCCACTACCGTGGAATTATTGTTTTACCTAGATTGTCATGGCAAAACAATCTACATTATAACAGGCACCTCCCGATAAGCCAGTAAACATTTATAAATCTTTTTTTGTTTTCAGCAGGCACCAGCAAAAACGTTTATTTTTCAAGCAGAATTAAATGCTCTCTATTCAGTAGTTGTGGTATGTTATAAATGTATGTTGTTAGTGACAGTATCTTCTCATTTCTAGAGCGATAAAGAGAAATTGTTATTTTTTGTTAAAACCTCTACCCCTATATTCTAACAAAAAATAATGTATCAATACATATGCAGATTAGCACATCATTGTTAAGATAATGCCTTGAATTTAAACTGGTTTATTTATATATTTTTTTATTTGCTTGCTCACGTTTCATGAAGCAACATCACCATTTTTGTACAATTATCACTTTGATCATATCAATTATCGTAACTGAGTACACTGAAGTCATAAATCTAATGAATAATGACTATTATTAGAAAAATAAATAAAGCTGAATTAGAAATAGAACAGAATGATCCTTTAACAGTTCCAAAAAAATTGTATTCCTTTGCTGGACCCATACAGGGACCAACGCAAAGATTAAGACCAGCAGATCCATGCATTAAAAACTCAACCGTAGACCATTAGTTTTGAGTGAAGATTTTCAACAAAATGTCCCAATAACTATCCTTCAATTTCCTTTAACCACATCACACATACACCACAGATCACATGCCTTTGCAATCTAATTGTCAAAAAAGTAAACTCACTCATCTGGTTCATGTAGGGATTCTGGTCCCAGCTGTCAGACTGGAATTCTGCCCGATTGCCGACAACGTTTCAGCACCCTGGACAGCTACACAATAGCCAGCACAGATCCAGTGGTATATGAGTGTGTTGGGGAGGAAGAAACACAAGGACAAAAGACAGGAGGGTGCTGGGCATTCAAAAGGGAAATGAGTGAGGAGATGGCCACTCGGAAGCCATTCTGAGAGCCCATGTTAAAGGACAGAAAACAAAATTAGCAAAATTAGCATTAGAGTGGGTAGCACAGTTTGTTCATATCACTGAGGAAGACAGGTTTTAAATGCAGAGAGGACTAGAATATGCAGGGAAAGAAATGGAAAGAAAGAAGGGAGACAAAAACGGGGGTGCGGTGAACAGAGTGGAAGAAAGGGAGAGCTTTTCCCACAAAATACCCATTCATACAGAAACATACATATAAAGAATATGCAGTCTGCAACTTATTTTTGACCTTAAAAAATAGTGTTTAGCAGTCATTGGTGTTTATGTTGCAGACTTAATTTTATAGTTTTACCTGGAAGAACACAATGCCAGAGAAGCAGCAGCGATTTAAAAATGTTGGCTCGTGATATCTTCTCTCGAAAAAAATACTGACCAAAATATTGAAAGGGATGCATTGGATTTTTTCAGGACGGGGTGGGGGGGGGTTGGAGAAGAACTTGAAATAATGTGTAAGGAAAGAAAGAGGGAAACAATGGCTTTACTTAAACTTAGAAGGAGCCCAAGAAAAAAAAACTGTCAATCATCGAAGAAGGAGCTGCAGGCAAACTCTATTTTCATTTTCTCTGGCTCCCCCCACACAGAAGCAGACACACTGAAGAGCAGAACACAGCAATCCAACACAACAGCACAGGGTAAACAAATATTACCTCAAGGTCAGGATGTTGACAAAGTGCTTCAGTGAAAGTTTAATGGCGCAATTTTGCCGCACTGTATTACTCCTTATAGCATACAATATTCTCCATATTTGTACATCCCCAAAGAAACTTCATATTCAAAGAAAATTACATGATTCTCCCCATTATGAACTTACAAATAAATTCTCAAGTACTTTGTTTAAACAAAAAAAATGTATAGTCTTATATTTTACATAGATTTGATTCTTTAAAATACAGCACTTTAAAAAAAGGAACGATTCCATTTTGCCGAGAGCATTATTGATAAAATAGTGCAAAGGCACTTTCTTGAGCAGGTATGGGAGAATTTTGCAGCTTGTTGGATTTTTAAAATATATGTTTTATATTTTAACACTCCATATACCTCTGTATGCTAAGTATTTACAGGAATCAGTAGCATGTACTCTTCAACAAAGAATGGTGATGTCATATTTTCACAGGGAAGATAAAATACAGTTTCATGAAAAGCAGAAAAGCTGAAATTGTACACAGTCCTGTCCATTGTATACCTGCCAAAGTCTTTTGTAATTTAATTTTTCAACGAAAAAGAAATAATTTGAACTGCATAATAAATATTAATATATTTCTTATATTCCTTTTGTACATCTTAAAAACAAAGAAAGGGAAGAAAAGGAAGAGAGAGAAGCGATTACAAAAGGACTTTGTCCGCCTCCAGTTAATTATGTAGGACTGAACACAGATAGCTAAGATAGATAGAGGGATATTAATACAGTAACTGTGTGATATTTATGAATGGTGCACAGAATCAGGGGGAGGAGGTATGGAAGAGGGGGCATCTTACAGCTGGCTCATAGCTGTCTGTTTCTCCAGAACCTCCAGGTAGTCTGGTTCTGTTTTTAGCTTCCCCGGGAGCAGAAGCGGGTGCTCATTGTTTTTCGAAGGGTGTTCAGCCCCGTAGTATTTCCTGGAAGTCCCGTACAGCACAGTTTGGTTTAACCTGTCCTGGTTGGTGATGTGCCGCCGGGCTGCAGCGGCCTCATAGGGGGGCACGATGCAAGGTCTCTTCGGTAAAGTGCAAAAGTTGTAATGGAATGGAGGGGCACCTGCAGCCGTGGGAAGCTCTTTGTGGGTCCTCTCTACTAAATTTTGATACAACATCTCAGGAAGTTCGGGGGTGCTCAAACCACATGATGTTGGCAATTTATTGATAAAATCCATTGTGCTGATGGTGTAGGCCCCTGGGCTGCGGGTGAGGACATCCTTCGTCTCCAGCGGCACAAAGCTCAGCTCCTTCAGGTTGCGGTAATAGGTCATCTGTTCGCCATCCTTCTGCATGTAAATAGGGTTTTGGCACATCGAGCCCACAGGTGGGGGGATGTAGTTACAAATGGTGGTTTTGTCTTGGGTTGGTTCAGGAGTGTAGGAGCCATATTGCACTTGAAACGAGTTGAGATCTAAGTTGTTAGCACCAGTAGGGACATGTTCCACTCCTTTTCGCCGTTTCAGGACAAAAACAAAGAGGCCTGCCCCAAAGCAGACCGACAGGATGAAAACAACAAGAAGTCCAAGAATCAGGACTGAAAGTGGAACCTCAGGGTGTAACTCAGGAGTTTGGATTCGGGATTCAGTAGGGTTAACTGAGCTATAAGGAGAGGAGGATGGTGTGGAGGCTTCGATGCCAGGGCTTATTAATGTGGGGGCTTTTGTGGGGGGTACCTTTTGTGGCGGGGGAACCTCGCGGGGATCAGGGCAGATGGCCTCATTGCGAAGTGAGCGCAACAGGCGACCCGCATGTTTAGAGGGCGAATCACATGTGATTTCATTAACCACTACGCTGGTACTGGACAGTTCCATCCAGTTCTTGAGTGCAACAATATCACATGTGCAGTCCCAGGGGTTCTCCTGAAGGTCAATCTGGATAAATGCTGAAAGCTGGTCAAGGACCCCTCGAACCGCAAGGTAGGAGAAATGGTTATTCCTCAAGTTGAGCCGCGTTAGCATTGTGCCCCCAAAAACATTGTCAGGGAGCGATCTTAACAGGTTGTTGTTAAGAAAAAGCAGCTGCAGGTTATGCAGAGAGTTAAATGTTTGTGGTAAAATGTCTTTGATGATGTTATATTCCAAATATAGATACTGGAGTGACTGCAGGCCAGCAAAGAGTGATTGTGTAAGTGATTCTATGTAATTCCCATTCAGGTAGAGCCGTCTGAGGTTGGTTAGATTCTCAAATGCACCTTCCTGAATCACTGCTATCCTGTTATTTCCTAAATGAAGCAGCTCCAGCGAGCTGTACTCCGTAAGATCAGTTCTGTAAATTACTTGTAAGTAGTTACCGGTCAGGTGGAGTTTCTTTGGGTAGGAAGGCTTGGGGTTCAGCTCACTGATGTTATGCAACTTACGTTCTTGGCAATTGATGTTCAATCCGCTGTCAGGGTTTTGTGACGTGCACACACAAACAGTGGGACATAACATGGGTACAGGGGACCGTGTCTGGTAAACCATTATAGGTCCAAAGACATGTTTGTCCTTTGAGATACGCGGTGTGGGCCTGTAGCGCATTTTGGGCGGGCGGGAGGCTTTTGGTGCACGGGTGGGGGTGATCATGGCAGGGTGGTAGGTCGGAAGCAGGGCCCCTTGAAAGTGAGAGTCGGAGGGGGGGTGAAGGCGCTCCCCGGCATTCCTGCGAGGGCACAGATCCTGCTTTATGAGCTGCGTGATGTCTTTACCGTGCAGCCTGAACGGCGTCTCACACACTATGTCCCCCACAAAGACAGAAATAGTGTCCAACCAAGATTTGAGAGGGATCAGATCACAGGTGCAATTCCAGGGGTTTTCCTCAAGCTGGATCTCCATGATGCCTCCTATGTGCTCTAAAACACCAGCAAACGGCAGCATCTTTAGTCGGTTGCCACGTAAATCCAAATGGGTGAGGAGCACAAAGCGGAATATGTTGGGAGGCAAAGACAAGAGCAGGTTGTCATTTAGTATCAACACTTTTAGCTTATTCAGCTTACTAAAGGCCCCTGGCTCTATGGAGCTGATATAATTATAGTCTGCCTGTAAATACTCCAAACTCTCCAGTCCTGCAAAGGTGTCCTCTTTAATCACCTCCAGGTTGTTATTGTTCAAGTGGAGTCGCTTCAGGAATCGCAGTCCATTGAAAGCGCCGGTCCGGATCTCCTGCAAGCCGTTATTCCCCAGATGCAGTGAGGTGACATTGTCATAATTTACAAATTCATTGGCGCTGAGCCGTGACAGGAAGTTTCCATTTAGAAAAAGCTGAGAGATTTTATTTGGGGGTGCCTGGAACTGACCAACAGTGGTGAATCCTTTATTCTCACAATTGATATTCAGAATGTTCTCCCGTTCCTCACAGGCGCAGCGGGTCTTGCAGATCTCTTTAGAGGGTGAAGTTTTACGGCTCTCTGTTTCCAACGGTGACAGGCTGGTGACCGTAAGGACGCTCAGCAAGAAGACGCCACTCAGCATTTTTACAGCCAAAAATGGGTACTGACATATAGATCCAGCATTTGACTTTGCAGCGTGAGCCTTGGATGGAAAGAAAAACAAATCAGGGGGTGGGTTCTCACAGGAGGGTGAGGGGAAAAGGGCGGTGGAGGCGCTCACACAAACACTCAATATCACACAAACAAGCACACAAGCATAAAAAAAAATAAGACCACCAACGTTATTTGGTGTTCAAATAGGAGCTTGAAATATCGTCATTGACCGTCACTGTGAATTCCGAAAAATGTAATCCTGAAAAAAAAAATAGAATCAACGGGTTCCTGTGCGGTGGATTGATTGAGTTGACACATTCTCCGTTATGGAAAGGAATCGGGGCCAGAAAAGCCGCTTGCTGCAACCCTTTTCCCCCGTTATAGATCACACATTCATGCAGAGGGCTTCACGCAGATCACTACCAGCCGTGGCCAAATATTCACCTAGAAACAAGTGCTGCAAAACGTTGCTTCTCCGCCACACAGCAAAAAACACGTCATTTTAGTCCACTCAAAAAAATTACCTTTTTTAAAGATCCAGAAATTATGCGCAAAAACGCACCATGACGCACAGCTGGCTTTCCTTATCGCCGTTTCCTAAATAAATGACACAACTCAAGGTGAACAGTAAGTACTAAGGGAGGAGAAAAAACTGCGCGCTTAATAGAAACAGATTGAGGAGAGATATATATTCCCGGAGCTGAGGCATGCCGTCGGTCCCCTCCTCCACTCTGCACACTGACAGCAGCACTGTGCGGCTGCAGCTGCCTCACTGCCTGTGTGTATGTGTGTGTGTGTGTGTGTGTGTGTGTGTCTAACTGAGCCTTTACGTCACTAACACAATCAACATGAACAGCGCACACGCACACACCCACACACGTCTTGGAACTAAGCAATCAATATCCTGCAGAATTTATATATATATATATTTTTTTTTATATATATATAAATAAATTTTAAAAAAATATATATATATTATATATATTATTCTCATATAAAATTGTGATGTGATACATTTGTATCTGAATTTTCATGGTTTTCTGTGCCTGATTATTGTCAGTATAGTACAGAGCACAGTACAATGAGTGATGCCTAATAGGAACTACAAAAATACAAATAAAAAAGGTCTCAAGAGCATCTTCTACAAGAGCAAATTTATGACGGGATGCAATCTATATTTTTTCAAGCTTATATGACGCTACACATGTAGAGTCACATCAATCTCATTGTTGTCTTCCCAGGAGATAGTATAAAAAGCTTTTTTGTTGTCCTGTTTTTACCGATGACGCCACTAGAAGGCAGGAAAGGCCTCTTCTCAGGCTTTTGTGTCTCATTACTTACCTGCTTTCTTATCTTCAGCATGATCCTCTCACTCACACATTCATATGACTGCCATTATTATCAGAGAGAATCATATTTATGTACAGTTCCCTGACAATACTGTCAAGTCCCAGGGTCTTCAAGAATCCTTATGAACTCATTCATAATTATTAGCATTATTTTTTTTTTTTTTAATTAATGGATTACTTTAATGTTCCTATGCTGTATATTCTAATGGTTCACACTCACTCAAATTCCCAAACAAGTATTTGAAGAGATACAAAGTAGAGATAACATTTCTACTTCACTGAAACAAAACCATCAATACTCTGTGGAGTAACATGGGTTACCATCAAATACATTTGGTTGAAAATACAGTATATGAGCATGTCTTCTCTGCTTCATATATATGTTTTTCTAAGCACTAACATTCTTACATTGACCAAACTCCATCCACCCAGCATTTGGCTTCCTTTCGAGAAGAACAAGCTTTTTCCCAGCATACATTTTCCCTTGTTACAGTATAACGTACAGGTGTTACTAGTAGCCATGCTCTATTCTATTCAGATGGCCAAGAAAACAGTGACAGCGTGACAGAGCAGAGCTGCCGGCTTCAGTTTTGGCACGAATAAATCTCCCCGAGGCAGCTGGACTATGCTGGACTTGTTAAGCATTCTGGTATTGTTAGCAGATCTTTTTAGGTTTCATTTCCACCACTCTTAACATTTCATCAATTCTTGACTTAAGTCTATAGAGCATGGAGCTGTCCTCCAATGACCAATCAGTTATAGCTGGGTGCATAATGGCTAAAGTACTTCCCTTATGGTACATGTCTAAAATACCTTTTTTCAAATTGAGCAAACATCCCCCAATGGTCTACATGGCTGCGTTTGGTGGTTCAATGTGAGTAGTACTTCCACAACTGATGCAGGTTGTTATGTCTTCCATAGTTGATGCGGAAGTAAAACAATGGCGGAAAGTTGAACTGTTTTCAGGGTTATAAGCCATGCCCCCTCGCCGTCTAGCGCGAATGATGCGATTCATGGAAATTGAGCAGAAATTATCCCTCATGGTGGCAATATCAACCTAAAATCGATTTCAACTCATTCTTACTGGTCTTTATTGATTGATTAATCTGATTGAAGATAGCTGATGTTGGAGATGTCCCATTTCTGCACTCTCTGATCAGGACTGGATTAACCTGTTGGAGGGCTTTAGGGCAATATGAGGGTAGTTCATAAAAATTACTACTAATTAATTTATGTTTATTACAGGTTGCTTCCATAACATAAGCCTTTGAAATTGGATTGAAAAGGCTAACCCCCTGCTGTATTAATTAACATAACCCATTTAACCAAATATCCACAAACTAATTGACACATGTAATACAATTACCACAAATTAGTGGAAGTTAATACTATCAAGCAGTAAGCTGATTCAGATAACTGGTTGATTGTTATGCAAAGTGGGTGCGATGAGTCACAACATCTGTGGAGAGTTAGTAGCAGCTACTCTGGCCTTTCCGCATGCCAGGCCCAGTTGTGTCCGATGCCAATGACTGCAGTGCGTCTTGCTACTGCAGACAGCCAAAAACGCACAAACCACAAAAGATTTGACTGTCAGATCATACCCCTCTCCTCCACAGTTACCGATCTGGGAGTTCGACCCTCATCTGACTTTAATGACCATGTCAAAAACCTGTGTAAAACCTATCATCTCAAAAACACCTCCAAGCTCTTTTATCCTGACACCTTTATCTCCTTAAGACTGGACTACTATAACTCACCTTTTACTGGGATCACTGGCAAGAATATCCAAAAACTAAAATACATCCAAAACAGTGCTGCCAAGATCCCTATGAACACATTACATCCATCCTTGCTACACTGGCTTCCTGTCTCATTCCGGATTGACTACAAAGTCCCACTACCATGTACTTCCCTATCTGCAAGATTTACTTACACCCCCAAACCTCCACCCAAACCCTCAGATCTGCAGGCAGCTCGCTCCTCCAGGTCCCTTTTTCTTGGCAGCACCACGCAAATGAAAGTCTCCCTGGAGACCTGAGGGCAGCATGGTCACTGGACTAAAAAAAATGTTTTATTCAGTTTTGTACTTATTACTAAGTTTTACTTTATCTTAAGTATGTTTTGCGGGTTCTTTGGCACTCTGGAATCCGTTGATGAAGAGTACATTATACATAAAATGTATACATATAATTGTTATTAACAGCCTCTGTAATCGTGGTGAGAAATTGCCAAAGGGCTTCAGGCTGGATGTCAGCCCCTTCTTCTCCAATCGGGTGCCAACATTTTGTACGACTATAGTTTTCTTAACTAGAGATACAGTTGTAGTTTCAACACTGCAAAGTGTTGGGGGAGAGTTAATCCTATGCACACTGTGAGTCTCTCAATAACTCAGTGACCTACGTTCTGGACCAAACTGATTCACAAAGGCAGTATTCTAGTTAGTAATAAATACTTAAATACTTAAACCTAAACAAGTTTAAGATACTTTTGATTCCTCCCAAGGGCTTTATGCCCAAATTTTTACCACACAAAGTAGACAAAGGAACGAGTGAAGGTGTGTTGCCATGCTCTATATGATTACCATTGCTCATAGTCACAGTCATTAATAGAGTTGAAGCATGTATGTTGTATGTTGTCTTAAAGCAAACAGGTCCTGGAGGGACGGCAGATTGCAGCCAATCACCCTCTCTGCCGAGCGGATGACGCAGCCTGCCCTTGTCCTTGGCTGTGGCTGCAGCGCACCAGACGGTGGTGGGGAAGCAGTGTTTGGTCTTTGGCAGGTTGAATTTCCTCAGCTGCCTCAGGAAGAACAGCCTCTGCTGAGCCTATTTGGTGATGGAGCTGATGTTCAACTTTAGGTCCTGGGTGATGATAAAGCCCAGAAAACTGAAGGAATCTACAGCAGAGACATTGGTGTATGGTGATGGGGCCTGGTAGGACTGCATACTTCTGTAAAAATCCACTACCTTCTCCACTGTCTTTAGAGTGTTGAGCTCCAGGTTGTTTTGGCTGCACCACGACACCAGATGGTCAGATTCCCACCTGTAGGCGGACTCATCCCCATTCCCCTAGATGAGTCCAAAGAGGGTGGTGTCATCTGCAAACTTCAGGAGCTAGAAGGACTGGTGACTGGAGGTGCAGCTGGTGTACAGAGATAAGAGCAGAGGGTAAAGAATGCAGCCTTGGGGGGAACCAGTGCTGAGAGGCTGAGACATGTATCCCCAACCTCACGTGCAGCTTCCTCTCAGACAGGAAGTCAGTGATCCACTTGCAGGTGGAGTCAGGCACATGAGCCGCTGAGAGAATGTCCTGCAGCAGAGACGGGATGTCCACAAACAGGATCCTGGCATAGGTTCCTGGGAGTCCAGATGCTGGAGGATGAAGTGGAGGCTCATGTTGACAGCATCGTCTACAGACCGGTTGGCTGTGTAGGCCTACTTTAGGGGGTCCAGGAAGGGATCGGTGAGGATTTTTAGGTGGGACAGGACAAGCCGTTCAAAAGACTTGATGACTACAGAGGTCAGGACGACGGGCCTGTAGTCATTAAGTCTTGTGATCCTGAGCTTTTTGGGAAAAGGGATGATGATGGAGGTCTTGAATCAGGCTGGCACCTATCTCGAGGGAGGTGTTGAAGATGTCTGTGAACATCGGAGACAGCAAATCAGCACAATGCTTCAAGCTGTGTGGGAAGACAGAGTCCGGTCTGGCTGCTTTGCAGGGGTTTTGTTTTTTGAACAGCCTATAATGTCTCTCCAGAATAGAGAGGGTCGTTGCCGGGGGTGGGTGGGAAGGGAAGGTTGATACAGAAGCATGAATTCCTGATGGTCTGGGAGGGGGAGGGAGGGATGGGTGTCTGGGGCAAGTTAGTGGAGCTATGGGAGATGCAGTCAGGACTATCAAATCTGCAGTAGAACTCATTCAGCTCGTCTGCCAGGCGTAGGTCATTCATGGAGTGGGTTTTTTATGGCCTGTAGTTTGTGGTGTTGAAAGCCTCTCTGAATCGAAGCTGAATCACTTCCTGGGAGCTGTTGTTTCTAGTTTCTAAGAGTACATTCGTTTGTATTGTTCTTCAAATCTTTATTTCAACTTATTGTTGGAATGCATTTAAGCAACTTTCAGATTTTTCGGCTTCGGTAATCTTTCAGCTACAGACACCCTTTAAACTTTAAAACGTTGACAAAAGGCTCAACTATTTTATGAAAAAACACCTTGTTGATATCTATTGTACTTTTTTCATAATCACTGAATATGTTTAACTAGTTTTTCGGTCTGTTTCTGAGTTTTACATTAGTGTGTATTGCGTTTGTTAGTTTGTTTCAATTTGATTAATTTTATTTTGTATAGCCCAAAATTGCAAATTACAAATTTGCCTCAGAGGGCTTTACAGTCTGTACGCGAAAACGAAAAAAA